GCAGCTGTTTATTCGCAGATTGTTTAGCTATAAACTAGACCGTTAGTTTTCTCGTTTGAATTGTTTCACATCTTCACGTGGTGGTCTTTTGTGGCCGACTATACGGTGTGTTGAAGGCTGTTAGGTTGCCTATGATTGCTTACATCCACTGCATTTAATCTATGGTGGATAATTTGCTCATTGGCAATCACACCAATTGTTTATTTCAATTTCTATGTTGCGTTTTGTATGCTGTAAAATTGTTTATCTGTTGTACGCATACCTACCCTTGAACCCTCTTTTCGGAAGCTCGAGCAAAAGCCCTTGATCCACGATAAAAAAAAATAGAACTCAAATTAGATAACTCGAATTTCAACTCTTAATCTTAATCTAAATGAGACTCAAATAGGAATTTACCTCGAACTCAAAGTCAAAAGGTGACTCAATTTAAAAGTTGAAGTCCAATTGTAATTCGGAACTCTATCTTCAAATGTGACTCAAACTCGAAGTTCAACTCGAAATTTGGTATGTGGTTGAGAGTTGTTTCATTGGCAATCATACCACACTTCTTTATTTCTATATAAGGATTTTTAATGCATTAAATATTACCGAATTAAACTGTTTTGCCATGATAAATTTGTAAACCTCCATGAATTGTTATAAAACTTGTATAGGAGTTATTCTTCAAGATCAAGATAAAAGCATCTACAGAAAAACATGTTTTCCTCCGTTAAGTGTACCAGTTAACGTACAGTCAGTCAACATTTAATTTACGCTTTCACACTGACAGCAGAATTATCCGGCGAGACACAGGGTTAATAAGAATCTTTAATTTATTTATTAATTTACAGCTTCCATTTGAGAACTAAGGAAAAACAGCAGGACCAAATGGTCGTTCCTTTTTTTCATACCAAATAACTATGAACAACAACTTGAACTTTAATTTGAACTTTAACTTAATGGATAGCGGTACTCATCCAAAGCGCATTACACAAACGACATATGGAAATCGGTCTAAAAATAGAACATATTTTTTCCAAAATGGTCATGTGGTTTTACCTCGTAGTAGTAAAGGGATAACCACATCAAAGAATGACATGAACACATTAAATACTGAAACAAACACAACATGTAGTGTAAAATCGTCAAATTTTGAAACATAATTACGTAATGTTAAAGCCATATAAAGAATTGGCAAATCATCATTACGAAATAACAAAACCACATCATGTAATGAAACAACTACATTACGTTATGTCACATACACATCAAGTAATGTTAAAACCACATTGTCTAATGACACAACCGCATTAAATAATGGTGAAACCACATCGAGTATTGACAAAACCATATTAAGCATGTGTTAAGTAATGACAAAACTATATCAAGTCAATTCGAAACCATATCATGTAATATCGGAATATCATTAAGTAATGACTTTTCCATATTGAGTTATATCAAAACATCATTACGTAATGTCAAAACCATATTATGTAAAGACAAACTATCATCAAGTAATAATAGAACAACATAACGTAATATCAGAGTTCCACATAAGACAGCTGTGGCGTTCCATACTATTTACTTATCACATGGTAGAATGCTTTATTTGTCTATTCTTTTTAATACGACTTATGGATCAAACTAATCGGAATTGTTTTGCTATCTGCAAAAAAAAAGAGTTCAAGATGTTTTGCAAAGAGTGTTGGTCTGAACTTCACAACATGGTTACACAACGATAACAAAGGCAATTCAAAATTATAGACGCAACTTTTTGAAAATTAAAACCCGCCACAATCTGTTTGTGCCTGTTTCAAGTCAGAACACTAGCATACAGTAGTTGTTGTTTGTCGCTCTCTACTTATCAATTCCTTGTTTGCTTTATATATTAATAAGGCTATGGATATTTCCCTAACACTGTTAGCTAACTTGAATAGATAGCGTGTTACGTTGACCTATAGTTGCCAACATCCACGTCATTTAATCTCTGGTTGATAATTAGAACGCATTGGACAAAATGGATATTGACATTACGACAGGATATATCCTCTTTCATTGATGACTTGATGCAATCTTTAGTATATGACACAAAACGTTTTCTCGAACATTACACAGAGTAGAAATATCCGTAAACTGAATTCTGAAGAGGCATAGTTTTATAATAATGTATAACGTAGAGTCTGTTTTGAAGACTGATTGTGCAAAGGATATTTTGCACTTTATTCATATGCTATCGTAGAAGGCATAAGCTGCTACAGTACTGTAAACGAGACATTGACAGTATTGCCTGTACACGGGTCATACAAAAATAACAATAGCATGTTATGAAGACTTGTTAAGATATCAATGCACTAATCATCACCAACCATGCATTTACCCTTCTCGTAATTAAACTTTTTTGTAGTTCCGTAAACCAGCTTCCTTGACCTTGACAGTCATTGCTCACTAAGCGCCAGAAAACATGCTTGTCCGTTTTCTGTAGCGTTCAACGATATTCGTCGTCGATGTAAATGAACCGATCTTTATAAATATTAATGATCTAATGCAGTTGAACTCGTTTGCGAAGAATTTACATCATACCGTGAACGATATTTTGGTAAAAAAAAACTACCAATACCGTGTAGACATTCTATGTTTGAGTCGTAAAACATCTACTGATTCATGTGGCTGAAGCGCGAAACAAATATTCCAGTCTTGCTACCAGCATAATTGTAACAATCTGGTGATTTTGTTGATGCTCTGTTTACCTAATAAAAAGTAATATTACAAAAATACTGAACCAAGGAAAATTCAAAAAGGAAAGTCCCTTATCAAATGGCAAAATCAAAAGTTCAAACACATCAAACGAATGGATAACAACTGTCATATTCCTGACTTGGTACAGGCATTTTCTTATGTAGAAAATGGTGGATTAAACCTGGTTTAAGCAAAAGACACAGTATTTGAACCCCTTTAATTGTAGTATCACCAAACTCAGTATTGAATGACAAACAAGATATCATTGAAGCATTGACGTGTTTTTCGATATTACTGTTGACGCTGACCATGCGTTTAAATAATTATCTGACGATATTGGTATCTTTGTCCTGTAGTAACAAGTAAAATAACAAAAATACCGATCTTCGAGGAAAACTCAAAACGGAAAGGCCATAATCACCCGTCACCGTTGATGGAGATGATGTCTTGTTGAATAAAAAAAAGTAAACTCAGTTTAAACATGTTAAAGAAACGACTTCTAACATAAGAACTTGAGGACTTTGACATTCAGAGAGAGAACAGGAAAGATGTACCAACGTAGCTTTGTTGTCTCAAAAATCATAAAACAAGGAAGATTAAGTAGATAGAAATTGTGCTTGATGTCTAAAAAAAATAGATTGATTTAGTACAATTAATGTACAGCCTTGATGTCATTATATCTAACACGGTTCATAAACCATTAACATATAATGTGTGCATAGCGGCGAGCAAGGTTGGTTCAACGGGATTACAGACATATTCAATACACTGAAACATCAAGAATGGATCAGAGTTATGGGTTATTAAACTATATATCAAAACTATCTTTGTGAAAGATTTTTGTCGGAGTATTTATAAGTGAACAGTTGGAAAATCGCGAATAAAATTCTTTCTTTTCGTTGGTCTGTGTCTACTTTGGTGATGAGTAATATAACATTTTACCAGATATACATTGATTTTATCATTCTGTTGTTTACGATGATTTTTTATATCGGCTACTGTCTCGGGTTCCTTTTTCACACGCAAATGCCTTAACATGTTTTACCTTCCCTTTAAAATGTTAGAATATTAGCCGATCACTATTTTCCGTTTTAAACGTTGATTTTCTAAATCATGTTTACACATACTATGGTTTAAGATTCTCCATTTTACAACAAGCCTTTGACATTTAGCTTTTTTCCGTCTCAATTCATAGAATTATTAAACAATTTGACCAACTTCTTAGTTGTGACCTTTATCTTCATTTATTTCGTTCTCTTAATATATTTTCTTTTTGCTATGGTAATTAAGTGATTGAGCAAACACTTTCTTTTCTTTCCTCCCCATCTTTTCTTGAGTGTCAGTGGTCTCAATTACTGCATACACATAATAGTATTATACATATATATTTCTCAGTCTTTTTCTTTGTTTCATAGTTTCGCCTGGTCAGGTTGGCAATTGGACACATGACTGATTTCTGTAAACGTTCTTGCGCATTTTTCCTCCCTATTTAGTTTGTATAGATGACGGATATATTTCCAGAATTTTTTGTTGACCATTCGAAAGTTTGATTTTCAAGATCAATAATAAAACCCTATCGGGGTTTTGTGGCTGTGTTGAAGATTCATTGGTGGCCTTTGGTTGTTTTCTGCTCTAAGGTAGGGTTGTTGTCTCTTTGACACATTTCCGTTTCCATTCTCAATTTTATATGTTTGTCGTTATCGAATGAATATAATATATTATAATGTTGTTTCCAATTGCAAAGTAAAAATTCATAAAACCTATTTCAGTCAGACCAGTGAAGGTATATATTTTCTTTATGTGAATCTTTATCGTAATTTTTATTTGTAGATGAAAGCAGCACAAACGTCCGTTACAAAATGCATCTTTTGTGACAATCCAGGAATTTACCACTGTACTGAATGTAAATCGGCGTTTTGTCAGATTTGCAGAACTAAACATGATAAATTGCCGACTACGAAGACCCACACAGTAACCGATTTGAAAAAAATTGACCCGTCAGCTTTTTCAACTAATGCAATGTGTGTATCGCACAAGTCAGAATTCATTTACTTTTGTACACGATGCCATGTTCTGATATGCGGTAAATGTGTTACAACTGAGCACAAAGGTCATGACATCACAGATATCAAGACTGTTGCTGACGATTACCGAAGAAGTGCAGAGGGAAATATTTCCGATTTGAAAATAGCAGTCACCAAGCTGTCAACAGTAGTAAGACACATGACAGAAATTGAGAAACCGACCATTAAAAGAACATATGAATCCGCCGAGGCCGAAATAGACGAATCTGTTAAAAAGATAACAAAAGCAGTTTTTTTTTAAAAAGAAAATAAACTGGATGAAGTACAGAACCAACTTGATATAGAAATAGAAGAATTTCAATACGATCTAAAAAACAAAGAATGGATATACGAACATCAAAAAAACATCTACGAAAGTTTGGAGAGATTAATGCATGTATCACATGACATCACCTTTATCACTGCATACGAAACCCTGAAGAGAGAGATTCATGACATCAGTGATTTCGTTGGAGAAAGAGGTCAAAAACAAGTATACAGGTTTGATCAGAAGGTGTTTGTTCAGGAAGTTGTTAATGCAATTGTGTCTGATTTTGAAATGAGGTAAGAAAAAAAGAATACAATACAAACACACATTCAAATAGAAATAAGTCAAATAAATCAAAGTAAAATTTTGATGAATTAAACAATGAAATCAAGAATGTTTGTAAACAACTCAACTATTTCCAACACTACTAGGGAATAGACTGCAAAATAAAAGCCAGCATAAATTTATAAAAATCTAGAGACGTTTATTAATGTACGATTCCAAAACCAGCACCAATCAGAACTGTAATTTTAGAATACAATACACAAATACGGATGTAAGTTTTTCATTTTTTTGCAATGATCCTCATCAATGCTAGTCAATAGTGAAAATAACACAAACTAAATTCGGTGTGTCCATCGGACCTGTTTTTATATACCTGCATTAGGTAAACTCATATTAATCATTTAAAAGAACCGGGACAAATGAACACTTATTTTAATGTCCAAAAGGAATCCAGTTTAGATAATAAAAAAAAAAACATCTAAGGTCAAATACGGTAGCAGTTAATAAACCGTCATATAAATGTTAGCAATATATTTCTCAACTCATCTTATCTTTTAAAAGTCATCTGTTCATAAAAATAACAGCATCTTCGTTGGATTCAATTTTCAAAATTAACTATCAAATATTAAACTGCATTCAATAAAATGATACCAATGGTCGCACTTGTAAATGAAACAAATGCTTAGGATGTTGTGTGTATTCAATGATGTAACAAATTCCTAGTCTAACAGTTTATACAAAGCCATTGTTTCAATGAATATTTTTAGTTTGGTAGGCAGGGAAGATGGAAGCGTTGTTTTAATGAACAAAACAGAAACAGAAAAGAAGGTATAATGATGACAATATATATACGCCGATTGCGACTATTTATTATTAGCTTCTTTTGTATTTTTTGTAATTTTGAATAAAGCAAATATCATTTATGTTTTTTAATTATTCATGGCTGCCAAAGTGGAATACATTCATTTCAGTTATTTAAATGGGGATATATATCGTTACATTTAACAGGAATAAAATACAGATGCAGATCTGTTTTTTTATTTGACGGACATAACAAAAGATTGTAACTTCTCTCCTTGTTTACTGTTTATACAAAATTTTACTCATCTTTCAAACCACTGAATAAAAGTGTCCAATATGTCTATATTATTATAAATCTGAGAAGCCTCGGTCCTGCTCTATAGTGATCAAACAAATAAGTAATCAGCAACTTTCGAAACATGTAATTGACTGATTGAAAGTTACATTATCGCACACACATTTGTAATGTTGGTATGTTAAAACCAAAGAGATTTTATAAGAATAACCATCTAGGAAAAGACATTTAAAATGCATCCGTCATGAACTCGTTTGAGTTCAGTAAACTCCGTTCATGTAAAGCTGACTTTCAATTATAATTTATTCAATGTATATCATGAGTTCTTGCTACCTTTTTGGTGGAAAATTTTGATCAAGTGCACTTCATGAAATAGAAAACAACATGTCTGAAACGTACAAAACTATAAGCACCTTATTGTTATGAATTTGAATGTCCCTCTGGTATCTTTCGCCCCTCTTTTATTGAGCATTATTTCAAACTAATATTTTGTCTTTTATGTAGGAAAAGGAATAAAAAGCAGAAAAAGAATACTTCATCAATGAACACTTTCCGTAAAAAACGACATCCGGAAATTAGAGAATATATTGAATTACCAATGCACTGTGTATGCAGCAACATTAAACCATTGTCGTGATGTCAGCCTATTCATTTACTGTGGATTCTTTTTCTAGAATCAACGCTTCCTAAATCTGTCGCTGAAATGGACTCACCAAATTATATTCAATTGTTTCCTTTGTGTACTTAATTTCATTACGTTTGAATTGGCTAATTTACTGATTTATGTTCACTAATGGAATTAATTTAAAAACTTACCTTCAATATTTGTAATTTCTATATGCCTTCACTGGGAATCGAACCCGTCCTTGAAATCTATTATGTGTGACTGACATCAACATATCGACGAAACCTCTCGGCTACCAATGGGTTACAAAGTAAATGTCTATTTCATATATATGAATGAACATATAATATACATCGGTACAACGGACACACAGGGCTAGTACCTTTATATATACATAGTTTAGGCAATTGTATAGTATAAGTTGATAGCCGCGAGGTTACCATTGTTAAGATCAATGAGTTAAAGGTAGGGACTTGTCGGTTTAAGTTAAAATCCCTGTTTTCTCTTTGTTGTCCCTATTCTTTAGTTTTTCCGGTTTTTATTTTTCTTTCTTGTTTGGATGTTATTGTGGATATGTTTGTAATAATAGCGAGTTTTACCGTTTATTTTTGGATTATTTTAGGCTATTTCACATATTTGAAACGAAAATGATTACATTCTATTTGTTCACTTTTGTTTTATAAATAAAGTATGATTTCATCTGTTAATAATTTTTCAAATGATTATTCCTAAATTCCTATGCGAGAAAATCGTGATGTGCCTAGAATGAGCTTCTTGCTAGAAATTTCGGTCACATACTTATTATATATACTCTATATATGCTCTTTGGGTTGTTGTCTCTTTGACACATTCCCAACTTCCATTCTCAATTTTATTAGAAATAAGTTCGAATATGTCTTATTTTGTAAAAACAGATAATATTCACATGTCTGATAATATAAAGATTTTTATAGGCAGACGTGTTGTGTTATATTTGTATTTTTTAACCAGTTAATTGTGATCCTAGATTTATCAATGTATCGTTGGACGATAACATGGTTATTTAAACTCACTTACAATACCATCTAATTAAGAAAAGGCTTTAATTTTGAAAAGAAATTAACACAATAGTTTAAGTTGTAGATACCATGGATAAGCGTTGATTCATGAAAAACAAACCATTCGCCCTCCGAGCTCATGGTTTTTTCACGAATCAACGCTTATCCATTGTATCTATATAACTGAACATAATTAAAACTAAAATTATTGACCTAAGTTTCAAAATAACCATTTAGCAATTGGTATGTAAATTGTGTGTTTATTCTAGATTACTGTCTTTTCAAATAAAATTTGATTTTGATACTGTTTATTTTTTTGATTTTGATCTATATTTCATGTTTTGAGTCAATAAGAAACAAATAAAAAAAGAAATTGTAAAGCACGTTTTGAACCTTATCAAAGTCTTTATCTTTTGATGTAATACCGTTTTTTGATCGACCCATACAATTCAGAATATGTTTGTGGCATACCTGTTAAACATGCTATATATATATATATATTTGTTAAAATATACTTTTTCACTTTTTTGGTCTTTTGAAAAAAGTTGATTGTGCTGTATTTGGACCCCTCTAACAAGAAATTTGTTTTGCATGCACACGTATAAAAATTCCGGTTTTTATCCAACGCAATCATAGGTTTGAACTTTGTTTTCAATTTAGACTTGTTTATATTTTTTTCGTATGGGCTGTATTATATTTTTCGTCGGGTTTATATGATCCGTTCATCCTATTTTGACTCTTTAAAATTCAAGGTTCTATCCTAAATTGAGGTAAATTATATGGCTTTCCAAATACCATTTCGATTCCTAATATCACTGACGAGACATTAATTGTCGAAATCCGGATATGGTGTACAAAAACCTTTGCACCTTTTGTTTGCGGTATATCATCTTTTCCGCAAGTTTATTGTTTTCTGTTTAGTATTAAATTTATAATTAAGACCCATTAATGACATCGGTGATCCGTTTATTTGGCAATCGCCAATGGCAGTCAACAGGGTTTAAGAACATTTGTTGTTCGACCTGTTAGTCAAATGCGTCTTGTTAAAATATACTTTTTCACTTTTTTGGTTTTTTGGAAAATGTTGTTTGTGCTGTATTTAGACCCTTTTATCAAGAAATTTGTTTTGCATGCACACGTATAAAAAATGCGGTTTTTATCCAACGCAGTCATAGGTTTGAACGTTGTTTTCAATTTAGACTTGTATATATATATCTTTAATACAGTTATGAACATAGCATGAATAAGACAGTATTTTGAAAGTATAACAGAATATACATGTTACGTTAGTATTAAATGCTGTGTGTTTAAAAGGGGTGTAAATATTTTCGGGTTTATTCAATAAATTATTAAATAAGAAGCAGTTTTAGTCAAATCCAAGATCATTCACTATATCAACCAAAAACCTTCATATTACTTTTTGTCTTTTTTTTCGAAACCCTAGGAGACCAAACATAAACATCAAATACAAAGAAACAACAACATTATACACATTCATTTACGTTGAACTCAAAAGTCAAAATTATAACCTCATTTTGTCCTTTATTCTTTGACTGAGTCGAGGTTCCTACTGCTTTGTCAATCTAAATAAAGGCAACAGTAGTATACCGCTATTCGAAATTCATAAAACTTTCTTAAAACCACAACAGGTAACCTAGACTTCAAATATCGAATTTTGGAGTCTGTAAGACACAAAGTCGACGAGTCACAACGTTTATGAAAAAGTATAATAAAAAAATAACGACTTGAAAGAAATTAAAAACGGATAGTTCCTTTTCAAATGGCAAAACCAGAAGCTCAAACACTTCAAACGAATAGAAAACAACATTCCTGACTTGGTACAGGAAAACGGAAATCACAGGATTATTAAACCCACCTGTTCGAGGGACAAAGAACATTCTCTAAGTAAATAACAGTTAATGAACACCAAGGACGCTTGGGTTATATCAAAGAACGCCTTGTTTTTTTTCTAAAAAAGTTCGTCGGAAGATAACAAGACCTTGTTGATAAATATTCTGTATCAACTTCACAAATAGTACATGATGGTCTTGATGTATAGATTCTAGGCACAGACGTTGTTGATCATTTAATTTATGTGCTATAGAAGAGGGGGCGAAAGATACCAGAGTGACATTTAACCTCATAAATCGAAAATAAACTGACAGCGCCATGACTAAAAAAGAAAAAGACAAACAGACAAACAAAAGTACAGAAAACACAACATAGAAAACTAAAGACTAAGCAACAGGAACCCCACCAAAAACTTGGAGTGATCTCAGGTGCTCCGGAAGGGTAAGCAGATCCTGCTCCACATGTGGCACCCGTCGTGTTGCTCATGTTAGTACAAACAAGTTAAATAGTCTTATTCGGTAGGTCACATTCGTGAAAAGGGAACGGGATTGTAGTTACGACATAGGAACATATTCGCTATCATCTGTGAAACGGATATTCCAAAACGGTCAACCAACTCGTGATGGCGTCCGTAAAATTTACGAAGGGATGATTTCAACTACACCATTTGGAACTCTTGGTTTAAAAGCTTCCTTGTGAGCAGCAACCCTCTATCAAGGAAATCATGATAGGAAATACAAGCCCGGGAATATCGTGTCAATTGGGAGATATATACTCCGTATGTAGGCGCTGCTGGAATGTTGCTACATAGAAATGGAAAGTTCACAATTGGGAAGTTGAAATCATCTCTTTTGTCGTAAAGTTTTGTTTTCAACCGACCCTCATTGTCAATTTTCTAGATGTAAGTCAAGATATGAGGCAGACTTAACTGTATCTGTTGTATCCTTTATCTCTTGTTTGATGGGATAGATGCGTTCAACATAGTCACCACATTTTAAATTATCTAGTGAGAGAACATCATCTATATAGCGGAAAGTAAAGTTAAAGGATACTGCTAACTTCTTTTCTTTCTTGCTAAGAAGTTCCTGTATGAAGTCAGCCTCATTTGAATAAAGGAACAAGTCGGCAAGAAGAGGGGCACAGTTGGTTCCCATGGGAATGCTGACAGTTTGTTGAAAAACATGTCCTCCAAACGTAACAAATATGTTGTCCATCAAGAAATCAAGCATCCTGATAATGTCAGTTTCAGAGAATTTTTTGTTTGAATCAGAGTGATTTTTTACAGAGTAGGATTTATCCCTCCCTAAGACAAGATACTTGTATCTACGTTGGCCATTCTTTTTTATGAAACAAAGCAATACTAACTCTTTCAATTTGCCTTTAAGTTTGGAATGGGGAATACTTGTGTAAAGTGTAGAAAAGTCAAATGTTTTAATACTGTTGCAAGATGAAAGAGTCTTAGATTGTATGAACTCGAAAAGATCTTTGGAATTTGTTAGTATCCACATTTGATTCACACCACCTCAAGAATAGGCAGTTTCACAATAACCATGAAGCCCGGCATTGATTGCTGATACAATTGATATTAATAATTTAGAAAGAGGTTTCGTGGAGCACTTGGAAGACCCAGCAATATACCGTTGTTTGTACAGACACTTATGTAGTTTAGGTATGCAATACAGTGATGGAAGATGCAGTTCTTCATCTTTGGTTGAAATTCCAAAGAAACATAGAACAGACCTATGATTATCCAGGATTTCCTCTTTAGTAAGTTTCGTGGGGGTATATGTTGGGTTTCCAAGTGAATTGTCAATACCTAATTCATTTATCAAGCAGTTTATGTAATGTGATTTACACTCAAAAACTATGTTGTTTGGGGCTTATCTACGGGGACAACATCATATTTGTCATGGAGGTAGGACAAGTGTTTTGCAACATTTGGGTCTTTAAAGATTGACGTAGCATGGGTATTGATAGACCCATTCAGTTTCTTAATTCTGATTTGTATCAACGACCGCATAGCCTTAATCCATTCGGAAAGAGTATCTACGTCTTCTTTCTCGCGTTTAACCTATTGCCAGGCATACTCCTTGACTGAATCCATCAGTATGTTGAAGTTGTGTTTCCAATTGATGGATTTAGACTCACGATATTTCGGACCTTTGGATAATACATTTCGCAGGGAAGTGTTATTGACAATGTTGGGTCACCGGTAATAATGTGGCAAGCCAGATTATATATGAATGAGGAACTAGCACAGATGCAATCAGGAGGTTTAGACTTGAAGTCGTCAATATTGAGATCCTGCAACACGTGTTTGTAATTGAAAATTTTAGTTGCAATTAGTTTGGTATAGATATAAGAAATGATTGGTACAGACTGATCTTTAAAATAGGGAGGTACTTTCGATGAAACTAATTTATGATGAAGGATATTGCCCAAGTCGAGACTTTTGTTGGCAAAGGAAAGTTTAAGAAAGGATCTTTTCTCTTTTTCATCTTTTCCAATGCGAATGGATTGAAAAGTCTATGACTTGCAATATCCGAAATGATAGCTGTAAGTTTGTATTGGTTTGAATGAGGGTTTGTAACAGTGGTTTCCAAACATAAATTGAACAGAGAATGAAATTTTTAAAGGGATAATGAATAAAGCTTCGTGCGAATGTGATGAATACCTAACGGGTTTTGTTTAAATGGCAGCAAGTCATTAATAGAGACATCATGGAGAGTTGGTGATGTATAATGACGATGACCATGACTGCGTCATTATACATCACCAATTCTCTTATATAGTGTTCCAATACATGTCTTTTTAAATTATTTACCTTTACTGTTTGGTTCAGTTTTGGTAATATCCTCTTGGCGAGTCTCGGTATT